CTATTAAAACTATTAAAACTATTAAAACTATTAAAACTATTAAAACTATTAAAACTATTAAAACTATTAAAACTATTAAAACTATTAAAACTATTGAAATGAATAAATAAATAATGTGATATTGATAGGTATATATATAATTTTCATGATATCTATAAGATATGTAATAGTATCTAGTAATTATTATTAATTATATATCTAGTATTTAGGCCTCTCTATTCCTTATAGTTTAGGTTAAAATATAAAAGGGATAGGAAGATAGGAACCCCTTAATATTAATAAGGTATATATAGGGTAGCTACTAGCCTACCCCCTATTCTTATATAATTAGAGGCTCCCTCCCCTACTATAATAAATAAATATCCTATCTAATAGTATATCTAGATCAAGTAAATATATAATATTTAATTTCTAAGAGATTTAAAGACTCTAATAAAGATTTAATCTAATTAAGGTAATTCTAGAAGATATAATTTAGTAACTATTAAAAACTTTAGTAATAATATAGATTTAATAATTACCTTAGATTAATTACTCTTAAATTAGTAAAACTATCTTAGATTAACTATTATTAATCTTCTTAGACTAATCTAGATACCTATAATAGTAATAATTTATTATAGGATATTCTTTAGCTCTTCACTTAATATAATTATAAATATTACAGACTCCTCTATATCCTCTAAAAAGTAATTAATAATATAATTAACTATCTAATTATAAAGAATAAGATAAATCTAAGTTATTAAAATTATTTTAATAGTATTAAAATCTATCAATAACTATAATCCTAATTTTACTTTTAAATTAATTATTTTTCTCTATATAATAAAATATATAATAGTAAATCTATATCTTCTAGTATAGAGACCTCTTAACCTAGTTTATTATTAATAATAATAGCTTTAAGATAGACTAAATTTAGCTTTAGTAATAGTTTAATCTTACTATCTAAGGTATAGCTAATAATAGTACTCAAGCTAAGTTAGTTTAGATATATAATTATTTAATTAAACTTCTCTAGTTAAAACTATTAATTAAATATATTAAATATATTAAATCTAGAATTTCTAATAATATTTTAATTTAGAAATTTATTATTAATTTAAAATCTATTCTATATATATATATATTAGGCAGAAGATTATAATAAACTAACTACTTTTAATAACATAGTTTATTATTTTACTAAGTATAAGTAGAGAATTACTTTATATACTTAAATATAGCTTTAATTATTTAGTAAAGTTAATATTTATTAAATTAAAAAGTTAATAATAATTAAATAAATTAAATAAATTAAATTTAAATATTATTGCTATATCTCCCAATTACCTAAAAAAAGAAATATATAAATAGAGGCTAGTAACACAGTAACACCACCCTCTAGGGATATAGTAATATCCTCTTAGATATAGTGACACCCTCCTTACCTAATTAGGTAAGGAAAAGTTATATAATTACTATAAATTTAATACAGAACTTAGCAGAGGATAAAAATAATTTAATTTACTATACTAATTTAATAATAGTATTTATAGTTTAATTCCTTCTAATTAGTCTAATTAGATAATATAATTATACTAGATTTCCTGTAATCAGAGGCCTCTATTAAGAATTAGATAATCCTTTTATATTAGCTATAATACTTAGGATATTCATCATTGCAGTAGGAAGGGAGCCTTTAAATCATGTAAGGATAGGGGGTAGGCTAGCAGCTGCCCCATACATGCCTTATTAATATTGAGGAGTTCCTATCCCTTTTATATTTTAACCTAAACTATAAGGAATAGAGAGGCCTAAACACTAGATATATAATTAATAATAACTAGTAGATATTAATATATATCTTATAAATATTATTAAAATTATATATATACCTATTAATATTATATCCTCCCCTGCCTAGATTAAACTTTATCTATAGAGTTCTTAGTTAGCAGCTAGCTACCTACAGGACTTAGTTAGTACCTATAGTATAACCCTAGATCTAATAATTACTAAGATATATTATATTACCTAATTTAGTATTAGGATATTACTATTTCTTTATTAATAATCTATAGAATTAACTAAATTATTCTTTTATATCTTTACTTTAGAATTAGGGTAGTAGTAGCTTAGTATATTCTTTATTTAATATATAAGAGATATAATTAGATTAATTTTACTTAGTAATATTAATAAGTTATCTAAGTAATTAGTAAGCATTAAGCAGTATATAAAAAATTATAATAAATATTATTATTTATAGTATATATAAATAATTAAATTAATAAAGATAGAATTAACTAATAAATATAGGTAAATAAGTAAGCTCTTACTACTAGTACTTATTTTATAGATATAAATACCCCTAACTTTTCCTACTTAATATATAAGAACTTTATAAATAAGCTTTAATAGAATATCCCCTAGCTTATTTATTATTTATTTAGATTAAGTAATTATTATAATCTCTCCTCTTTATAAATTATATTTACCTTATTTAGTTTTTAGGGTATTATATTAATTTATTTAATTCTACTATAGTAAATATCCTAGATAGATTAGGTACTATTTATACTATAGAGATTAAACTTAGGTAGTCCCTTACTTATATATAGTAATCTTATATAACTCTCCTAGATCCTATTTATCCCCTTAACTAGTTAATATAGAATAGTAAAGAGATAAAGAAATTAATTAAATCTACTAGTTATTAAGATACTATTATTCTCTAAGTTTATAAT